AAACTCCGATTTTGACTTTCAGGGGTTTCTAATCGTTGTTATAAAAAAATGTAGTACTTAAAAAGTGGGTGTTAGGGGAAGCTGATAATTTAATGTTGCTTCTTTGATATGTGGAACACGGTCTATTATTGTGTAGTAATTACAGGAAATTTGAGTGACGGAAATCCGACAAATAATGTGCGTTATAGGTTTGAATACCTGTAGATTCGGATATAGATAATGGGGATTCTTAGGACTAGAATAGTTAAAAAAACTAAAAAAACAAGCTTTTATAGCTAACCGAATTAAAAATTAGAAAATAACTTTTAATTACCAAGAGTTTATATTACAGTACTAGATGGTCGAACAATCAATCATAATTAATGACCTCAAAATAAAATTATAATAACATTTAAGTTATTAACAGAATAATTCAATTGACATATTAAAAGTTACAATCATTCTATTGCCAGCTATCTATGAGAGGAGAGTTATGAAAACTGTAGTAAAATTCACCCCAAGCTTTTTAGCATGATTTGAATTATTCTGTTAATAACTTAAATTTTATTATAATTTCATTTTGAGGTCAGTAATTGTGACTGATTGTTCGACCATCCACTATTATAATATAAATCCTTTGTATAATTAAAAATTGTTTACTACTTTTTAGTTCGGTTAGCTATAAAGGCGTGCTTCTTCAGTTTTTCTAAACTATTTCAAACACGTTTTTATACGTATTATAATGCTCACAACGCTAATTTTGACAGTTTGTAACTAATAAACAATTTATTTGTTTCCAAGGATGATGCGAATTAAGCCGTTCCATAAAAAAACGTGCTAATAACCGAAAAAATAGCCGTAAAAACCCTTATATGTATACAGGGTGATGCATTTGAAATTTTTGAGAAAAACTGCAATTTGCGTTTTTGACCACCCTGTATGAGCAAAAATCAAAATTGCAAAAATTAACAAATGAGATAAAAGCTGAGGAGTGTAAGTTTTTTTTGATATAAAATTCAGCACTCCAAATTTCAAAATGGCGGACTGAGGGGTTGCCGAAGTGGGAGGTTTTTCTATACAAAACACCTTATATCTCAGTAGCTAATTACCAAAACCGCATAGTATGTTATATCAATTTTCTTCTTTTGAATTGGTTTATCCAAATGTGCAATAAAATTAGAGACATTCTATTGGAAAAATCAAAACTTTGATATGTAGATCGAAATTGGGAGACCCTGTACAATGACCAATATTTTAGAAATGTGCCCTCAAATGTCATGTATAATGTGCCATATACATATATATAGATACAGGGTGTCCCGAAAAAAGTGTGCAACATGCTATCGGTTTCTAGAGCTTAAAATAGGAAGAAAAGTTTATATAAACATAGGTCGACAAACGTCCCCTAAGGGCGCTACGGTCTTTCAAAGGGGCTCCCCTGAAGATGGTTTTTCCTTAATATTTCTGAAACGTGTTGAGATAAAGACATAAAATTTGGTATTCTCACCTAGTTTTTTATGCTGGATTTAAAAATAATAACAATTTTAGACAGCTTTGTTTGGAAGCGTATGTAACAGGGACGCACAGGTTAATTTAGCCCCAAAGTTTTTGTGTGATTCTATTTTTGAAATTCAATTTTAGAATTTGCAAATATAGGGTTTTCTAAATAAAAAGGTACTCTTATTGAATATCGATAAATTGTGCCATTTTTGAATAAACTCAAACTAAAAAATTTGTCACATGATAGGAAATGTACTTCGAATTTAAATGAATTGTTGAATAATTAGCCTTGAGAACGAAAAACCTAATTTAATAATAGGTAAATATTACATGAATACATATTTCTATTGCAACATAGCTAACATTTATGCAAAAACAAAAGAAATAATTTTTTTCTACGAACGAAATTGAAATTTGTTTAAAAGAGAATATATAAAGTTGGATATACTTAAATCTAGCTTTACAATAAGTGTTCAAATAAATTCCCATTTTGTTCGACGAAGTAATGATTGCGTAGCCCGAAAAGTGGAAAACCTTTTTCTTTTTATTTCATTTGCAGCCTGATGGATTGTTTGAAGTAAATCTTCTTGAGTATTTACTTCAGTCGAGTAAACTAGGTCTTTTAATGACCCCTAAAAATGGAAATCCAATGGATTTAGGTCAGATGAACGTGGCGGCCATGCTATAGGATCTAATCGGCCTAACCACCTGTCTGGAAAATTGACATTCAACCAATTTCGAACATTGCGTCCAAAATGTGCAGGGGCGCCATCATGTTGAAAAAACATATTTTCTTGAAACTGCTGGTGCACATCCAATGGTATTATATCCATGAGCTCATTCTGAAGAAAGTTCAGCTACACCTCTGAATTAAGACGTTTGGGATACTTCCCAATTACTTGATCCCCAATTACTCCTGCCCATAAGTTCAACGAAAATCTATGTTGGAATTTGTACGGCGGTCAACTTTTGGATTTTCATCTGACGAGTGATGCATGTTACAGAAATTAATGCACCATTCCTAGTAAATATTGACTCATCCGACCATAATATTCTAGGAATAGTGTTTTAGTTTGCTAATATTCACTGGTTCGTGGTAAAAAATCTGCCTCCGTTTAAAATGATAAGGATGTAAACCTTGCATTCTTGTCATTCTTCCTATCTAAAATTATTATTTTTAGGATAACTATCAAATAGGTATTCATAAATTTTTCTATTGATCGAGGTTTATCCATAATTTCTGAAACATTTCGTATGCTTATTTGCGGATAATTTTCAAACATATTTAAAGCAATATCCATACGATGGTTTCCCAGTGGCCTTCCTGAGTCCTGCATGCGCTGAAAACTTCCATGGTTTGACAAATTCCGGTGAATATCAATAAACATTCGACGTGCAGGTACTATGGGAAATCTTCTTTGATATTCTCTTACGGCTGCCAATGAACTGCCATTGCAAAACCCGTACACAAAATGCATGTCAGTCAGTTCTATGTCTGTAAATCTTGGCATTTTAAATCGACTTAATAAAAATTTTGATTTTAATCTAGTAATCTTACACTGCTAACAATGTCAGCTTAACGTCAAAAAACAGCTTTTGTTTGCAGTCATGGCTAACTATGTATAATCAACAATTCATTTAAATTCGCAGTACATTCCCTATCATGTGACAAATTTTTTAGTTTGATTTTATTCAAAAATGGCACAATTTATCGATATTCAATAATAGTACATTTTTTATGTAGAAAACCCTAAATTTTCAAATTTTAAAATTGAATTTCAAAAATAGAATTACACAAAAATTTTGGGGCTAAAATAACCTGAGTTCGTCCCTGTTACATACGCTTCCAAACAAAGCTGTCTATAATTGTTATTATTTTTAAATCCAGCATAAAAAACTAGGTGAGAATACCAAATTTTATGTCTTTATCTCAACACGTTTCAGAAATATTAAGGAAAAACCATCTTCAGGGGAGCCCCTTTAAAAGACCGTAGCGCCCTTAGGGGACGTTTGTCGACCTATGTTTATATAAACTTTTCTTCCTATTTTAAGCTCTAGAAACCGCTGGTAGAATATTGAACACTTTTTTCGGGACACCCTGTATATATATATATATATATATACAGGGTGACTTTGAAGTTGAGTCATTAATTTTCAGATAATGATTGTAGAAGGAAGATAAACCAAAATATGTGTGTAAAAATAAAAAAAAATGAAAAAAAAATTTTACCTTGTTTTATAAAGTATCCTCCCGACAAGTATTTCAGTGCGGACCTGTATTTGATCGTGAGGTCCCCTGTGAGGTCTTAAGTCACCTGATTCACGAGCCCGTTGTACTACATTAACAAAGGCACGAGGGGTTGGTTGCACTCGATTGGGAAACCGATCCGCATAAACATGTGCCATTTTTTATTTCACTATTCACACGCGACTGAAACTGACTGTATGTATAACTGAACTGAATTGTAATCGTGAAAACATCGTTCCAAATTCTTTCGCTTTTTTGTTTCCGATGCGATGAACCGTTGTTGCCAAACACGAACATATGATATTATTGAGACAGGGCGGTACTCAAACTTCCAAAGGGCTATAACTTTGTTACTTTAATTTTACCAGAAAAATGGTAAAGGAAAAAAACATTTCTTTTGATCAGATCTACACACTGTTAAAAACTTCGAAGTCACCCTGTATATATATATATTCATACATACCTACATACAAGCATACATACATACATGCATAGATACATACATGCATTCATACAGGTCATTCTGATAAAAGCGTGATAAAATAATAAAAAAAAGTATACTAAAATCTGCCTCTTGTGAGGATTGAACTCACGACAACTTGTTTACAAGTCCTGTGCTTTACTACTTGGGCTAAAGAGACTTCTGTTTTCAATGTTCGTAAAGCGGCATTTAGACGTCGTGGCTTTTTATTAGCAATCTGCTTTTTGAAGAATTTTTCTTAAAAGGATAATGGAAAACTTTTATCAAATTATTGCATTGTCATGGGTGCTTGGTACGTGTGTGAAGTTTCAAATTAAACAAACTTCTGGAAAATGGTGAAAATTATGCTCAAAGATTCCGTTACATGCATACATACAGGCCTAAGCGTGTTAAAAAAAACAAAAGATATTATAATGTAGTTCTCAAAAATTTGATAACAGAGCCGCTAAAAAATCGGTTAAAGTGAGTAGTTTAATTCCGTTGAAACTACAGGTTTGGATAGTTTTTGACAGCTCTCATTACAGCACCATTGCTGGATTCCGATGAATGGAAACTAGATTTCTGAAACTCTCAATCTAAACGTTCGATAATTCCATCCATCAATCTGCTCTACTAGATCCTAAAAAAAGTAAATTTTGGAAAACGTTATGAACAATTCAAACCATATTATCTGTTTTGTTTTACCTTGTATAATTAGCAGGATGTGAAGACAACATACGATGGGAGTTTCGTAGACCGTGGTATTCTAAGCTATACCGATGCGTCAGTTAAATCTACTTGACATTTTTGCAGAGTGAACATGAGGGCCCCAATAAAGAAATCTCGGAAGAAGGTGGTAAATTTAGAAGACGTAATCAGGACGAAGCCCTTTCCACATATCTCCACGGTATCATCCTTATATACAGGTATTCCAGATGATCCATCTCCTCCTGATGTACTTCCTACAGTGCCCGAAGTTCCTGAGGAGCCTGAAGAGGACGAGGAGGACGAGGAGGACGAGGAGGAGGACGAGGAGGACGAGGAGGAGGACGAGGACGAGGAAGACCCTACCTGCTGTCCAAACATTTCGCATGAGAAGGTAGGGGGTATAAACCTATAGTCAATCCTATACTATAGCTGTGACTATAGGTACAGAGTGTAAAGTTAGTAGTGGATCAACGGAGGTCAGGTGATAGACGGCCTCAAAACCTATCGAATGAACACCTATATGGGTGGTGCGAAATTTTAGTAGTAGTAGTTCAGGAGATATTTGCAACTGAATCATTAGGTTTAGGGCTGTGACTCTTTTCTGAGATGAGTTAAATGGTTCGTTTTAGCAATGGTTATGTCACTTTTCAACAGAGCTTATTAGAAATAAACGCAAAAAATATTAAATTCACTTTTTTGTGAAACATTACTTCCATCCCTCTATTGTGGAGGGCGGTCAAAAAATTGAGTTTGTATTTCATTATTCATTTTATTGTAAAATCTATTTAAACCCTTTTAGAATAAACCCTGAAAATTTCAGGTTGCTACGATGAGTGTATCATGTCACATTCGTTGTTGTGATGCGATAAACGTAAGAAACGCAACAGAATACTTACCACCTACAAATACAGAACCTGTTGTGTTTCGTCGCTCTTCATGGCGATTTACCGACAAATGTGGAAGACAATTTGATTTAACTAACTTTTGAAGAACATGTTCGGAATGGCCTCTATTATTTTCTATATAAAAAAATGTCTAGTATTTGAAATGAATTTGCGTTTTCCATAATTTTATTTTTTACTTCATCAATTTTCTGGCGCAGTTGGTTGACACTTGTATATTCAGATGTATAGATTATCCCCTTATTAAACCTCCATATAAAAAATCTAGAGGATTTAAATCGGGTGACCTTGGAGGCCATCGTATGTTTCCAACTCTACCTATCCCATGCCCAGGAAAGGCTGTCTAAGTCACAAAAGATATACACTGAAGAAGGTTTAATTCCATGCTATTCAATGGCAACACGGTGACTTGTGTGGTTGTCAGCGGCCATTTTTTGAGGGTGCGACATGATTGCCAGATTGTCCATTAATATCCCGCAACGTTGCCAGCTCTACATATAAATCTAAAATTATTATACTTTTATATATATGAATTTGGTGGGATATGGGAGATCTTATTACAGCATATATTATTAACATTTTGCGCTATCTTGAACAATAAATTTATTTTGTATGTTAAAATAGCAATGTCAATAACATATGCTGTTATAAGATAACTCATATCTACTTACTAATCTGGAAAGGTTCAGAAGAAAAGCCTATACTGCAAATACCTAAATATGTATATATTTGTTATACGAATCTCATACATTTTCTACAAACATATCAGTATTAACATTATTATGGTCCAAAATTGAATTGTGTTGATATGTCACTACAATTCCCATATTTCTTTTTGTTATTAGAACAATAATATTATTGTCCACGGGTACCCACAGGAATTTTTCTCAGTGGTGCTGATCATCATCAAGAGATAACTGTTACCACGATTCCCCTGACACCGCCCTGTGGGCACCCAAATAATATAACTATAAAATTTCGGACCACACATATAGGGGTTCAGTCGATATGTTTTAAGGTCCTCTATCACCTGAATTCGTTAATCCACTACTAACTATACACCCGGTATGTATGTAGGCGGCAAGGCTTGGTATCTCGCATTTCGAATCCTGCATTCTGGATTATTGATGAATTTAATCATGTTCGACCCTCAGCCTATGTGAAATAGCTCTTGATTTTATCCAATTTGAGGGCCCGTTAAAGCGTTGCCGCAAACTGAGAAAACCCATCTAGTCTTGGAAGTACTCGACATGAATGTTGATAAATTTTTACTTTTTGTCCCACATGAACGTATTCAGGAAAGGCAAGGGGGACAGCCGCCCCCCTTTCAGCCTCAGAAAGTAAAATGAAAAGACTATTTTTTACTTGATAGAAAAATTGTCTCTGTAGTCTTAACGTCAATGTATGCTGATGACATAGAATTTGGTTTCGTAGAGCCTTCAATGTTTGTGGAGGGTGAGGTGAATTTTGCGACCTTGTTTCTACCATGTCCCATACATGTTCGATGGGGAAAGGTCTGGAAATCGAGGAGGCCACTGGAGCAGATTACTCAGGACGAAGTTTCTATCAAAATCCAATAATAATTCTGGGTGTTGCATTTTATATGTCAGTATACAGGGTGTTCGAAAAATAGACATATTTTAGAGGGTGATTCCTTTGTTAAAAAATATGAAAAAAGGTTTATAGAAGCATGGGTTCTCAAGATACAGGGTGGTAAATTTAAATTTTTGTTTCTTTTTTTTATTAATATCTTCTCGATTTTTTGAATTTGGCAATATATTTGTTATATATTATAATATTATTAGGTCCAGTGGCGTCCCGAGGTCACCTTAGCAAATATTATTGGTGAAAAATGTACGTACTGCCTTTCTTGCAAATACATTTTTTAACTTGTTGTTTGATTAAGCATATAAAAATATAACTTCTGTGCCGC